TCCGATGACTTCTGGAACCGACAAAACGTAATGTTCTTGGATGTGTGAAGAATATTACAATATAAATGCATCTTGTCTTCACTCTTTTCTGTTATGTAACCAACATCCAGGCGTTCAGCTAAAATTTTACAATAGTAGCCGATGTATTACAAGAAGAAACATTATAAGGAAACGTATGTAGAAAAGATATTAGAGAAAGGAGAGGTAAAAATTGTAGAAGGTGAGTCCCAGTATCTTTTTACAATACAAGCAATTGAGATTTGAACTAATGAGTTCTTACTTTCAACTGTAATATGTCGTTGTAGTTCCAACTCGGCGATTTGACCAGGCAGACCTAGCTGTACGTTCCACACGCCTTGTATAGCTCTGGTCGTACGATCAAGCGTCACACTGCAATGTCCAGATACCAATGAACTCTCCGCGAAAGGTTTCTTCACTAAGCAATAAGAATTCTCCAACGTAGTCAATTCGATTTTCGCCTCTGTTTGGCCGTCTTGAAGAGATATTGGTGACGCGGTGTACGATAATTTAGATTCTGAAAGCAAAAACTAAGTTAAAAGACATCAACGAAACATTAACTGTTCTTATATCAATGTCTTTGGCCCTGCAAACGATCGTGTGTTTTAATCGCACATAAGCACTTATTATATTTACGCTAATAATAGATTATAATAACAATTATAGAAGGTTAGCGTAAGGTTTTATAAATATTTACTAACATTGTTGTTAACCATGCCAAAGAAGTTTGTTCTAGGAATTTGGATTATTCATCGCGACATTTTATGACCCACGTTACGTATAATAGTGAATTAGTAGGGGACTGAGGTATGCTCTTTATCCTGATCTGTTGTGGCAAGAACTCTTTGCCGACTAGTTGTGCCGGCTATAGCCGCGCCTGCTAGTATTTCTGAGCAATGATTGCATCATTTGCAACATTGCCGTAACTGTCGTAGTGTTAAAAGAAGGAGTCTAAGATCGTTATTTTTTTTAATTCCTGAATTTACAATCAGGTGAGAAAAATTTAAACATGTTATTATAATTTAAATAGTTGCAAAAAGAGATTTACATAAAAAAATGTGATAATAAGATTTAATAATATATTCAGTGCCAAAGTTCTAAGTCCAAACATGAACTGATCAAAATGACATCGTAATCGTAGAGATGTGTATCTAACTAATAGTATTTTGATTAATTAGGAATAACTACGTATTTCCTGCGACTCCGTTCGTGCAGATTAAAAAAAATTATACTCTACCTCTGTGGGAAATTTCAATAAATTAGAAAATAAAACCGTTGCGGGTTATTGAACAAATATATACAAACAAGATTAACATATCCCACGGGAGCCGTGTACACATATTCTGGATATTAGGTAGTCTATGCGTTCTTCAGACTGTGTTCTATATCTATACCAAATTTTATCGAGATCCTATTAGCCGTTCTGTATATACTTGGTAACAAACATCCAAACTTTAGCATTTATAATATTAGATAGATAGCATTTGCTGATTTCGTTTAATCATGATTAAAATCTCGTTGCAACAATGTTGTTAAGCATGTGATTCGGATATCAGTCGTTAGTCATGCTTGTAGTACATATCATTGTGATAACCGCATTAACATCATTACACATAATAAAATTAATATTATAACTATTGTGTCTGAGAATTACTGCGACAAAATATTTGATTTTGCATATTACATCAGTGTAGTTGGAGTAGACTATCACTCAAGGCACCATCATTTTGATTAAAAACTAGCTATCACCCGCGACTCCATCCACGCGAAATTAATAAAAAAGGTAACCTTTGTGTGTTTCCAGGCCATGTTCTACATTTATGACAAATTTCATCGAGATCCGTTGAGCTGTTCTGTAGATAGCTTCTAACAAACATCCATACAAGTAAACATTCGCATTTATAATATTAGTCAGAAGTAAGATGAGAACTTGAAATTTTTCATACAAGAAATCACTACGAAGAGCGTTCTTAAAGCTTTATCAGAGGAGAGGACGCTTAGGAAAGAGAAACATTCTGTTCCAGGGTGTCCCCTCCTCCGTCGATTAAAAAAAGGTACGCAAAGCATCTGCAATTGCGGATGTCTACATATATGCAGGGATCACTTCGCTATTTCAGCGAAACAGTAGGCGCTTGCTGGTTTGCCACCAAATAATATTTAAAAAAAAACAATTCATACCTTCAACGAATAATTCCGTCCATCCTGTAAGTTTGTTTGAACCATGTGCGGTCAATCTCCATCTACCTTCATCATTCATTGAGACATTTCGTATTCTTACCCCGCATCCGTCGGTCCATTTTGTATATCTGCATGTTTAATAAACACGGTTAATCTATCGCATAATTTTTTAAATAAAATCTTAAAAAGCTTAATATTAGTTTTTTTGTTAATACTTCGTTATTATTCAGAAGATGTCAAAATACTTTTGTTATAGGTCATCAAATATTGTAAATAATTGCTTACCTCGTATTTGGCGGGGAGTTTACATTAAAAGTTAGGCCTGAGGGTGGAGTGATTTCACAAGAATTTTGTTTTTCCAAAATTCTATCAAGTTTCAGCAATGCCTCGTTTCCTTGAGCCACGCGAAGTGTGTGTGGCCATCCCAAACCGTGTTGCATTTTAAAAAGATTTTGCACCTTAATAGCTACGACATTTTGAGATGAACCTTTTTGTACCAGACATGTTGAAACTAAAATTTTGTAACATAAATTAATATCAAACTAATGAGGAAAGTAATTTTTTACTAATTATTAAATTAAAACTAAGTTAGATTTTTAAATTAATTGATAAGTAAATAGTTTTTATATCGTGTTTTACATTTCCAAAGACCGTTGCGGGCATGAGATGTCCTCGTATTCTACCAATTATTTTCTAACACGTAACTTGGAAATATTCCACTTTTTATCAATAGGTACATTTTGTGTCAAAATTCGACCAAAGCTTGACAATACCTTATCAAGATACTTGTCTTATAACAGTTTTAATTTTATCCGAACAATTAATTAGTCATATTCATAAATTAGTGTTAAAAAGGACCCTCACCAATAAATATAATTAATACAAATGTACATCGTAATCCCATCATTTTTGTTATTTCATATTAATTTCTTGCACAAATCACATAACTATGCACAATAACAAACCCAAACTGATTATAATTCTGTTAATTCAATCGTGTAAATATTTTATCAGCTTTCAGCTAAAATAATCACTGATATGTAATTAAAGAACAATTAAGATATTTGTTTGATATCGTTATCTTTTAAATCTCCCAAACAATACTTTGCGTAACACCTAGAGATAACTAAAAATACCTTTAAAAAACGTCAATACCTCGTCTCAACTAACAGCAACTAAAAGTGTGGTCGCAGTGGATTAAGCAATTGACTTGTTATATGCCCTGGATTCGATCCACGCCATATTAGATTTTTTGATTTTCAAGTATTTTATTTAGCATGAAGTTGATTGTATTATGTCCATTTATTAATTTCATGCTAAATATTAATATTGAAATTTTCCACACTGATTTCTTTCTATTACAGGTATGTGAGTGAGGTGAGCAAAATGCTTTTACAAAATTAATTCCGTCCAGGTATAAAATGAGGGAAGGGCGGATTTAACAACAAATACTTAATAGTTTTCAAGCTTTTTACAAATTCATCATGTAAAAATCTAAACTGAGGAGTAGGGAGTTTTTAAATTAAAAATATATATGACAAAGTAGCTAATTAGTAATTATTAAAATCCAAAATACTTTCACAGCAAAATGCAATCGATTATGCTTATCGGCAATCGTTTTCGATATCAAAAATTATATAAAAATTATAAGACAGACGAACTAATAGGCATTGTTTTCGAGTGAGTTCCGCGTGATATTAGATAATATACAAGAGAAAGAATTTAACGTTCTAGACACGTAATAATTATATCAATATTACATAATCTTATCAAAGAAGTGATTCTTGTTAAGATATTTGTCAATTTATTATATTAATAACAGGTGGCTTCTTCAAGCTTTGTTGATATTACTAGACGGTTTCATTCGAACTAGTGGGTTGAAATTGGATAATCTATCTTTATATATATAATTCTTCTGTGAGTGTGTATGTCACTGAACTTCTCTCAAACGACTGGACCGATTTCGATGAAATTTTTTGTGTGTGTTCAAGGGGATCTGGGAATGGTTTAGATTGACAATTTTGTCCGCTGGACAATGTTTTTTTAATTAATTTTTAATTTATTAGTAGTTGTTGATTTTGGAATGTTTTATATTGGATCCGACTGACAGCGCTACCATCGCAGTGTCAAATTTTAAATAATATTCGAATTTTAATTTTATTTTTTTATTTCAATAGACAGGACAACGTCTGTATATATATATAAAAGAAAGTCGTGTTAGTTACACTATTTATAACGGCTATACCGATATGGCTGAAAATTGGTGGTGTGGTGGAGGTCGCTTAGAGCCAGGAGACGGACATAGGATACTATTTATTCTTTTTTTTTGTCGAATTTATGCCTTGAAGAGATGCTTTTTATTTAACTTATTACCAAAATTATAAATGCGAATGTTTAGATGGATGTGATGTGGATGGTTTTATGGGTGGGCTACACTAAGTTTTTTTATATATCCTCGCGGACGGAGTCACGGGCGACAGCTAGTAGTTCATAAAGATAATTTTATTATCGCCTTGATGGTAAAGAATATGTGGTGTTTGGTAACAGTAGAGTCAGCTTTAACATCTTCGCACGCATTGGCCGGTTCGCCCGGTGCGACCACACAAGAAAGGTTCAATTCCGCTTGTCGTCTGATGAGTGTGGTACTGGAGGCCTAATTTTAGTTCTCTTTCCCTTCCCACCCTTTTTCTTATAAGTATGGCAATGAATGGATGAAATTTGGCATAAATGGAGAACATAGTGTGGATTAAACATTGTATGATAAAATTACAGTATTTAGGCAGGGTAGGTAGAAAAACATAGCATACTCTAAGGAACATGTATTTATAATTATTGTTTGCTTAACCTAAATCACATTACGGAGATCTTTTATTTATGTTTCAAAGTTTATAATTAATTTTTCTGTTTCTATGTGCTTCACCGGAAGAAACACTACAACATCATCTGCTTCTTTCATCTGTGTTGTTGGCATCTGAAAATAATGGTACTTATAAATATTCAATGCCGGCTACAATTCTACTGTGGGGATGTATAGTGAGTTGGTGATATTATTTATATCAATTAAAAAATCTTACATTTAAATCACTTGCTCTTGATTCTTTGGCAGTAAACTCTCGGAGGACATAATTTGAGTCCAACATGTGGAACATCCTGGTCTCATGGGAACGAACTAGAACATCGTCTACACGTAAAAAGTAGCGCAGCAACACATACCAATATGATGGCATCACTCTCTGAAAAACAAAGTAATCATGTGTTTGATATTGTTCAAAGAGGGTAGTTGAAATTAATTGTTGTTTTAATATTGTATAGCAACAAAACATTTTCTCTGCTCCTTTGTGATTTAAACAACATATACATAGCTAATGTGACTAATGTTGACAGTTTGTAGTTCAAAAATAATGTCATAAGATAATTAAAACATAATAGCAATTCTTACAATTTTTACTGAGAGTTTAGATATTCCATGATCATGCAATTCATCTTCAAATAATGTCAAGTCTTGATAAAAAAGTATTTGGTCTTTTTTTTTCAACACTTCAAAATTAATTTTCTCATCTGTTGGCTCCACAACAATTTTGTCATTCAATGTGCCTTTATAATCTGTTGAAAATGTCCAATCAAAGTTTTGTTTCTTCTTTTCAGCATCTGGTCTGAGGACCAAAATATTTGCTAGTTTTAAATCAAGGATATAAAAATTTACGTCATTTTATGTGCATGACTTAATTTGTACCAAAATCTGACCTTGATTCCTGCCATGCTTCAGCGCATGAAACTTCAATTGCTTGAACCCTACTTGAAACCCGCTTTAAAGCATCCAAAGGGTTGAAATTTATACATGCACCACTTGCGTGCGACAAGTTGAGAATGTTTTTCGGAAACACCATATCAGGAAAATGTGGAATATTCAACTCCTTGCAGTAACTAGAATGACAATATTAAAAATTTCTATAATAATATTAATACTTTAGATCTGTTTTTGTGAAATACTTACACACAAAACTGACAAAATTGATCATCGTCTCGTTCGCATACAACTTTTGTGGAACAGACACTTGGTAATATGCAACTAACATCGTACGAAATATACCAGGGTCCAAACTGTATGGATTGAGAATTTGTAGTGTACTTCCCAGAATCAAGTTTGCTTTCCTACACAGAAAAGGTTAGTGAATATGACATCAAATGTTTACAATCCTATCGCTGTGGGACAAAGCTAGTACCTCGGCAATGAACATCATTTTTAACTTTGACGAAATACTTCAGTTATATGAATAAAATATTAACAAGAATGAATTGTATAGATATCTGAAAATGAAGAACTTAATAAAGAAGACCTGACAAATTGCAATTTTCGACAATTATCAATTTATTTATATTACCGGACACAAGATCATAAATATGCTTTGATTATTGACGTGACATTGACAAACAAATATTATTGCCAGGTTTAACAAGTTACCGTTTTAAAAACAATAAAGATACATTCTTTTTGTTACATTTCACAACAAATCTAGATAAAAATCGATATGCAAAATAAATATATGGTTGTAGTTTTAGTTTTTAATATTGTTGTACGACTCCGAGGTTCTTTATTGTCTCGTCGATTAAGATAGGGCGTAAAAGTTATAGCAACTGCTACTGAAATTTACTACAGCTACAATGATTTTGCAGTGCTTAAAAAAACATAAGTGGTAACTTTTTCGTGGCAAATGGCAACCTTACCACGCACTTCGCGGGCAAATCAATATGGCCGACTGGAACTGGAACCGGTCGGTTTGTGTTTTGATGGTTAATGTTAATTGAATTAAAATTTTAAATAGTTATAGAATTAACGTTTATTCTCGTGGCTGTTAAACAGTATTGGTGATATCATAACTAAATATGGAAGCCCTTATACCAGTTATAAACAAATTACAAGATGTATTCAATACCGTCGGAGCTGATGCCATTCAGTTACCTCAAATAATAGTTTTAGGAACGCAGGTATAATTTTTTAATTGGCTCATCAAAAAGTTAGAATATTCATACTGCAGAATTAGATATAAATATCTTAAGTTAACGACCTGTACTTTGAAAAATTAAACGGTTATGTAAAGATGTCACTAAAGTTCTTTGTCCCCATTTCTAAAAAATGTTTTAAAAGTCATTGTCCATCCTTTTCAGTTCATAACGATTTAGTGTAAACGCTGAAAAAAATGTAGCTTTATTTTAATTTTAACGTGCATATGAATTATTACTTAATGTATAGACTTAAATCCGTGATTTTGTTTTTAGAGCTCCGGAAAAAGCTCTGTTATAGAGAGTTTGGTGGGACGTTCGTTTCTACCCCGTGGTCCAGGAATCGTGACCCGGCGTCCACTGATCCTTCAATTAGTGTATAGCCCGAAAGACAGCAAGGAGCATCGTTCAGCTGAAGAAGGTATATTTATCATTTTTTTCCACTATCACTTTAATAAAACCATTTGGCAAACCTAAAATTATATTATCTGTGACATTGCATGGCTTAAACAATAAGTTTTCGAAGATTATTTGACTTCATTTTAAAGTTTGGATATAGGGAAGTATTATTTTAAATTTTCTCTTTTTGATCACATCATTGATATACTTCTACATTACAAATCATGTTGTCATCTCATCATATTTTATAAACTGTGTTATTATAACATCATTTTAAGTAGTTAGTTCATATTAGTTTATCCTGATATTAATTTTGATTTTAATATTTATTGCATTGAATAGATGAAATGCAGAATTTCTATCTCTATATATCCATTTTATCTTAGACTGCAAATACACATAAAAGCAATGTTTATGCTTTTTATATAAGATTCTCACAAGTCATCATTATCAATTGAATGCAATTGTAATTACTCTGTTTTTGCAATTACTATGTAATTAGCACCAGTTTTATATTAACTGGGACAATAATCTATGAACAAGATTCACTGCTAGTATGAAAAATTAAGGTTTGACATTTAGTCCAATATATTTTCACATAGTTTTAATAAATCAATATTTTACTGTAAGACAATTAGGGTAATTTGAATGTACAGCGATACAAAGCATAAGCATAATGTATCACTAATTATTTTACTTTGTTATGCCCAATTTTTTGAGGTTAAACTTATCTAGCAAATGAAGCATGTTAAATTGCCAATTTTTTTTCACACAAAAACCTATTATAGATAAGAAAGGTGTTATCATCATATTGATTAGGTATATTATGTTTGTTATATCTAAAAAATGTAATATTGGTAGAGCATAATTTCTTGAATGTTTTAAAAAATTAACTTTTTTTCTGCTGACTGTACTAATTTAAAACCAAACTACAGTGTGATATGTAGTATATAGGTTATTCACTATAATTTAATATACTATGTGTAAAAATATAGCAGCTCAACTAATATCTTCAAGTTTTCCATAACTTTGCTAACATTAATAATATGAAGAACACAACAAAATTAAGAGAAAACATGTTGATAATATAAATTAATTGTTTCCATTATGTTTTGGATTCAAGCCAAGTCATGATTAATAATTGCCTTTAATAATATTCTGTTACAGTCATAAACATCATAATAGAATTTATTTTGAAATATTTTACAGTATACATTATTTAAGTTGTGTTATTTTATTACCTACAGTTTATAGAAAGGGGGATATATCAAATAATGTATGGAATTTATTAACCAATGTATCCAATTTAGTTAGTGCAAAAGGTTGGTACACTAATGAATGTTTAGTTTACAACCAAACAAAAATATCACTTGCTTTCTTATGTTTTCATGTTTTTATTAATCTATCTACCAGTTTCAAGGTAGAAAACTCATAATAAGATTTATAATATTGGACAATTATCGCCACAGTTGGATAGTACTTGTCCTACCGTACTTGACCCACTAAACATGGGTTTCTGACACCAAATTCTCTATATCAAATATATCTTCATCCCAAACTTTGACAGAACAGAAAGAACAGTGTATTTTAAACAGAGATTTTGCTCTTGGAAACCCACAACAAGTATTAGCATGATCCTTTGCATTGCTCAGCAACAGGACAGTAGTATTTATGGAATTATGCTATTGTCCGTTGATTACCTCTTCTTTAACACTATTAAACATCAAATGTATATCTAATGCGAGTCTTAACAAATACAGTTTTTTGTATATACTACACCATAATATAAGAATTAGGCAACTAATGAATGTAATCCTATTCAATATTATTTCTTTTCCAATGAGAGATATATAGATAATAAGAAAAGATGAACACAGAAATTTTATTTATTGAATTTTTTAGGTACAGTAAATTTAGAAGAATGGGGCAAATTCCTGCACACAAAAGACAAGATATACGGCGACTTCGATCAAATTCGTCAGGAAATCGAGCGCGAGACAGATCGCATGGCGGGCAGCAACAAGGGCATCTGTCCAGAGCCCATCAATCTCAAAATATACTCTACCAAAGTTGTCAATCTAACACTGGTTGATCTTCCTGGTATTACAAAAGTAAGTACTATTTTGGTTAATACACAGGCAAATTAATAGGTTCCCATATTCCCAAAGGCTGTTTGTTGATATCTGCATTTTTTAACTGCAGTGTAGACAACCATGAAATATGGTTTACTTCATTTTGTAAGTTTATAATTACTTTCCAGTCTAGATAAGGAAACAGTTTTATGTGACAATGACTCTCCATGATAAACTTGATTCAACAATAACACATAAGGATGAGTAATATAATAAGGCATTTAGCGCTGTAGTGTTCATAATATTGCAGAAAATTTCCATTGTTCGTTTTTCTTTGTTGAAATTCTAATAGAATTTTATATTTATATTAGGTTCCTATAGGTGATCAACCTGAGGATATTGAAAATCAAATAAGGAACCTAATTATTAAATATATAGCAAATCCAAATTCGATAATCCTTGCGGTGACAGCCGCTAACACGGATATGGCGACCAGTGAAGCTATAAAGATGGCAAAGGAGGTAGATCCAGATGGCAGAAGGACATTGGCCGTTGTTACCAAGCTGGATCTCATGGATGCTGGTAAACTTAAACACTATTATATTAATTTATTTTTTCAGTGGTGACTGTACTTAGCTATTTTTATTACGGCTGTTAAAATAATAATGAGTTTTTTCCTCCATTTTTGTTACTTTTTAAATACAATTATAAGTAAAGTGGTGTTAGTAGTTAGTACTAGATTAATGGAACTCCACGACTTGCTCGTATTTTTCGTGTTAGGGTTAATTTGTGGATCTCATATAGATCTTAGATGTCTTGACCTCAAAAGTCGCCGTCGTTTTTGTTCTCAGACAAGGAAGTTACCTTCCGAGGTTTTTTTCACCGAGGTATGCTTGGTTAGTATGTTTTTTTTTCCAAAAGCGAAGAAGATTCTTCATTCTCTGAGTAAAATATAATTTTAAATCTTGTGAAATGTGTATTGTCAAATGTATTGTCTTTACTCATATAATAACTTTACTCTTTAAAAAATACGCTCTCATTACATCATATAAATTATATTGTAAATTTGGTCATATACAGGGTGTTGTGAATATCTAAAATAGCATAAAAGAACTTGCAATAAAAAAAGAATCTAATTTAAAATATTAATATAATTGTACTTAATAACACAGGAAAATTTATTACAAATTTATTCTACCGTGAATACAATTTTGATATAGCAGTATAATGTTGACCGTGATTTTTTCATTAAAGATCATTTACAATTTGTATTATGTTACTTCGAGCTGTTGACTTCACATCCGAGTCTTTGTTGGTGTGACAATGATGTTTACTCAATTGTAAACATCATACTCTATCAGAATTGAATCAACTTTCCAATGTTTATGTTTACGTTGAACACCATATACACGGAAAAATATGTAACAATTAATTTGTCCTTATCTTTCCTAAGTAAAAATTAACCTAAATGATAAATTGCACCTACGACCATTAGTGTTTTATTCTTAATCAGCACCTAAAAAAAATATTAGAACTTTTAACGTACTTTAATTACGTTGGAATTAGTAAAAGGGTAAATGGACATGTCTATTCATTACTCTAGATTGATGCCAATAGTATAAAAAGTTAACTAGTTAATTGTATCCAAACATGTTCCCACCAAGACACGTGCTTCATTGTTTCTTAATGCTTGAGAATTGTTTTTATAATCATTTTTTACTTATCACAAAAATATGTCGTATAATTGTTAGAGTATATTATAACAGTGGTAGAGCCCGCTTTGACATCTTCGCACGAATTGGCCCGGCTCGCCCGGTGAAATACCACGACCACACAGAAGACAGGCGTGAAGTGGAAGCAATTCCGCGTTTCGGCTGATGAGTGTGCGTCCCGGAGGGCTAATTTAGTCCACTTTCCCTTCCCACCCTTTTTCTCATAAGGAAAGGATGGGAAGTGGAAGTGGACTTTCCGGATGAGAGGATG